AGCGCCTCCGCCTCCTGCCACGGATGCAGGCTCGTGTGCGGGGGCTCCAGGCCAGGTCTGCAGGGTTGGGGCGAGGCCCTGGGCCTTTTCAAGGTGGTGGGGCAGGTTGGGGAGACATCAGGCCTCCAGGCCTGCCCAGTGCCCCATCCCATCAGCACTGGACTCTCCTTACAGCATCCCCGCCCATAGCCATAATCTCTGCTCGAAGACCCCAGTCACAGGACACCCATGATCCGTCCAGGCTGCCCAGCCTGCAGTCTTGACGCCTTGAGTGTCCTGTTTTCTAGTCTGTTCTTCACTGTGCAGCAAGAATGACCTTTTAAAAGCATGAGTCGGCCCTAGCTGTTTGGCTCAGTGCCTAGAAGAGTCATGGGTTCGATTCCGGTCAAGGGCACGTACCTCAGTTGCAGGCTCAATCCCCAGCCCCGGTCGGGGTGCGGGAGGCAACCAATCCTGTCTCTCTCACGTCCATGTTTCTCTCTCTGTCTCTCCCCCTCCCTTCCACTCTCTCAAAATAATAAACAAACAAACAAACAAACAAAATAAAGGCACGAGTCAGACTTAGGCCAGACTTTCACACTCCAGGCTCTGGGTTTCCTAGCCCTACGCTTCTCCCTCCCCCTTCTCACCCAATAAACTCCCAGTGCTCCTCCATCCAACAGCTCTTGATGGACCTTCTTCTCCATCCACCCAGCCGGATGCTAGCGGCACAGAGGTGAAGGCCGGGAAGGTGCCTCCCAGGCCAGCTGGGGAGCCAGATGCAGAGGGTAAACCGGCGCCGGTCACCCCAAAGGTGATTGCTGAAGCGCTGAGAACAGGTGAGGGCAGGGACTCCAGGGAGCCTCCGGAGAGGAGGCACCCGTCACCACTACCTATTTCCAGGACGTTTCCATCCCCAACAGAAACTACCCATTCAGCAATAGCTCCCCCTCTCCCTGGCCTCCAGCCCTGGTCACCGCCCGCCTACTTCTGCATCTATGAGTTGCCTGTTCTAGACCCTTCGTGAACGTCAGCCCCTACAGCTTTCTTCTCTGCCTGGCTTATTGCACTAAGCGTGACGCTCGCAAGGTTCGTCCCCGTCACATGGATCAGGACTTCGTTTCTTCTTTATGGCTGAGCGACGTTCCCTCGTGTGGACGGACCACATCGCATTTGTCCACGCGTCCTTCGGGCTCATTCGGGTGGTTCCCACCTTTTGGCTGCTGTGGATGATGCTTCAGTGAACATGAGCGTGCAAGCGTGTGTGCAAGTCTCTGCTTCCAAGTCCTTTGGGTCCGTCTGAGGAGGGAATTGCTGGGTCACGTGGTAATTCCATGCTTAGCTTTGTGAGGAGCCGCCAAACTGTTCTTGCAGAGTGGCTGCCTTACTTTGTGTTCCCACCAGCAGTATAAGAGGGTTCCAGCTTCCCTACTTGCCAATACTTATTTTCCTTTAAAAAAATAATAATAATTGCAGGTCTCCCGGGGGGTGAACTGGCCTCTCACTGTGGTATTGGTTTGCATTTCCCTGAGACTAATGATGTGGAGCTCTTTTCATGTGCTTGTTGGCCATTGTGTATCTTCTTTGGACAAATGTGTACTTGAGTCCTCTGCCTGCTTTTACATTGGGTTATTTGTCTTTTTGTCTCTCTCTTTAGGGAATTCTTATATATATATATATATTATTGATTTCAGAGAGGAAGGGAGAGGGAGAGAGAGAGAGAGAGAGAGAGAGATAGAAACATCAATGATGAGAAAGACTCATTGATTGGCTGCCTCTTGCACGCCCTACACTGGGGATCGAGCCTGCAACCTGATCCTGTGCCCTGACTGGGAATCGATCTGTGACCTCTTGGTTCAGAGGTCGATGCTCAACCACTGAGCCACGCTGGCCAGGCGCCTCGGGTCAGTTCTTACAGTCTTGTCTTGGCGTGGAGGATGCAGGCACTGGGTGTAAGCTTGGGCTCCCCACCCCTTTCCCGGCCTCCAGGAAGCGGTACCTCCAGCGCCGGGCGGCCCTGGGACAGCTGAACACGGTGCTGCTGGCGGCCCGGCCCCTGCTCCGGAGGAGGCAGAGACTGCAGGTGAGGCGGCTGAGGCACTGGCAACTCAGGTAGAAGCCAGGCATCTTGCTGGTGGAGTCCGACAGTGCCCACCCTCCCAAGGCCAAGGCCTCAGGCCATTGCTGGCTGGGCTCCTCCCACTTCTGTCTGCCTGGCCAGGGTAGGCTGGGGCCTCGGGAGGCCATTTGCCTTCCTTCATCCCTGCCCCTGCCCCAGGCCCCTGTCCCCTCCCTGCCCGAAGTGTCTTCAGATCCCCTCCAGCCCTCCTGGGGCCCACCTGCTCCCCTCTCTCGTCTGATGACTCGTAGTTGAGGCCATAAAGCAGCTCAAAGGTCAGTACCCACGTACTGCGCCCTCCCGGGCCCCTCCCTGGCTGGACTTTGCCCCCTGAGACCATTCCTTCCTGTCTCCCTGCCCTCCTACCCTCTCCTCACTGCCCTGACAGCCGGGCAGGGCCGCCCACTGAGGCTGGTGAGGGCTCCGGGGACTGGGCGCAGGCAGCTGGCCCCTTTGGGTCTGTGCTTGCTCCTCTGTCCGTGTCGGGGCCTCCAGGGGCAGGCGGGGCGGCTGAACTGCCTCGCTGGGGAGGGGCTGCTGGGAGGCTCCAGGTGGCTCCTCTCGGGACATCGGCTCCACCTGCATCTCCCCTGACAGCTTGGGCACTGGTGTGGCTGGCACGGCGGCGGGTCCTCCGGGAGCGGGCCAAGCATGGTAGGTGGTGGAAGCTGGAGGGTGTCGCTGGGCTGTAGACCTGATGAAGCTGGCACGGCTGAGGGCGCATGTGGGCTGTGTGGGTCCTGTCCCTCAGGCATGTGTCGTGCCCCTGAGAAGGGGCCGGGGTGCCCTCGGTGTTCCTCTGAGGGCTCCTGGGCCCTGTGTGTGCGCCCAGGGTCTTTGGAGGGAAGTCATAGACCTGGGGAAGGACGGACACCGGGTGCCGGGCCCTTCCCCACACGGGTCAATGCCCCTCCGACAGGAGCTGGCGCGCCTGGAGATCCCGGCCGAGCTGGCCGTGCTGCTGAGGGAAGAGGAAGGTGAGTCCTGCTTGATGGGCGTCACTCTTCCCGTGACCCCACCCAGCCCCTCAGTTGTGTGAGAGGGTCCGTCCCTGTGGTCCCTCCCTCTGCACGGGGCTGGGTGATGGTGAGGGCTGGCGGCGGCACCAGAGCCGGGCACCTGACCTGGGCTCCTCTGGGCCGCCTCCCGGTGCTGTCCCCAGGCCGTCAGCACACGCTGGCCCAGAGCATCACGGAGGCCAAGCCCCCGGAGGTTCCTGCCCGGCCCAGCCTGACCCTGCCGCCGGACATCGACCAGTTCCCCTTCTCCACCTTCATCTCCAGTGGCTTCCAGGTGGGCCCCCCAGGGCGCAGCTCTTCCTGGCTGGAGCCCACAGGTCCCCGGATGGTAGCCCCTACCAGGCAGCGGCTGTCTATTCCTGTCCCCACCCCACCTCTCCCCTCTCCCAGCCTGGGGCCTGTGGACACAGCTGCCTTCCTCAGAAAATATTCATTGAACCTAAGTGACTCACTCTCCGGTGTTGTTCACTCTGTGAAGCCACGCCTGTCACACCTGGGCCGGGCCCTGCGGCCGCCGTCGTGTGTTAAAGCGTGTGTGACGGCCAGGGACACTGTCCCGGCTGCAGGGTGCGATTCAAAACTGCACACAGAACAGAATCTCAGTGTGTACAAACAACAGCGGGGCGTGGGGGGGGGATGGCTGTGTTTGTGCCGAGAGCTAGGAAGTAGGACTCGAGAGAGAGGCCAAGGCACCACTGGCTGTGCCCGGCGGTGGAACGCGAGAGCTGGTTTTTATCTTTTATCCTTTTCCAGGGTTTCTGAGTTTTCTGCGTGCACGGGCATCAATTTTGTAATCAGAACAAGCAGTTAAGCCTCATTTAAAAAATATATTTTTATTGATTTCAGAGAGGAAGGGAGAGGGTGAGAGAGAGAGAAATATCAATGATGAGAGGGAATCGCTGACGGGCTGCCTCCTGCCCGCCCCACCCTGGGGATCGAGCCCACAAGCCGGGCCTGTGCCCTGATCGGAATCAAACCGTGACTTCCCGGCTCTTAGGTCGACGCTCAACCACGTTGGCCAGGCTAAACTGCATTTTATTTTTATTTTAGTTCATTATATTCCACAAATGAGTGAGATCATGTGGTATTTATCTTTCTCTGATTGGCTTATTTCATTTAGCATAATGCTCTCCAGTTCCATCCATGCCGTTGCAAATGGTAAGAGTTCCTTCCTTTTTAGAGCAGCATAGTATTCCATCGTGTAGATGTACCACAGTTTTCTAATCCATTCAGCTGCTGATGGGCACTTGGGCTGTTTCCAAATCTTAGCTATGGTGAATTGTGCTGCTATGAACATAGGGGTGCATATATCCTTTCTGATTGGTGTTCTAAGCTGCATTTTAAGGAGGGTTTTCCAGGCCAGTCCTTCCTCCTCCCTCCCCCAGAGCGCTGCTCCCTGGGCTCCCCATGCCATCTCCAGCAGGTCAGCAAGGCCGGCTCCTCAGGCGCTGGGTCGCCCTCCTTCCTTGCAGGAGCCATCTCTGCCCGCTCCTGGGCAGCTGCTGGACAAGCCGCTGACCCGGCTGGACGGTGAGAACCCTCAGCATGCCCTGGATATCAACAAGGTGGTGAGTGACACACCAGGGAGAGGACAGGGCAGGCCTGCTCTTCAGTGCGGGCCGGGACCCCAGAGCCCCACATGCCCTGCCCTCGCCTGGCCCCGCAGATGCTGCGGCTCCTGGGGGAGGAGTCCCTGCCGTCCTGGCAGGAGCAGACCATGGGCACCTACCTGGTGAGGCAGGGGCAGTGCCGGCCGGGCCTGCGAGACGAGCTCTTCAGCCAGCTGGTGGCCCAGCTGTGGCACAACCCCAGCGAGCAGCAGAGCCAGCGCGGCTGGGCCCTCATGGCCATCCTGCTCAGCGCCTTCCCCCCGGCGCCCGCCCTGCAGAAGCCGCTGCTCAAGTAAGAGGCCTGGCACGTGGAGTCCCAGGACGAGGGGGCTCAGGTGGAGGCCGGTGGGGGGGCTCAGGTGGAGGCCGGTGGGTGGTCAGCGGCCGCCCACCCCACAGCCTAGGGCTGTCCCCACAGATTTGTGTCCGACCACGCCCCCAGCGGCATGGCAGCGCTGTGCCAGCACAAGCTGCTGGTGGCCCTGGAGCAGACACGGCTGGCCCCTGAGACCACACGTACCCACCCCCCCACTCAGCTCGAGTGGACGGCCGGACGGCGCCGAGGACGCATGGTGCTGGACGTCTTCACTCTCAATGGTGATGCCGCCTACAGTGGCCCCAGCCTGCCCCTCATGCTCCCTGGACCCCCTCCCTGCTTCACCCCGACATCCTACTCTCCTTCCTGTCCTGCTTTTGGGCCCCCTTGGGGACAGCAGCCCTTTCCTGCCGGGGCGGAGGCCGCCGTCTCTCACTCTCGGTCCCCACCCCGGTCCCGCAGACGAGTGCATCTCCGCAGAGGTGGAGTCCTGGACTACGGGGGAGCAGTTGGCCGGGTGGCTTCTGCAGAGCAGGTGCGGGGGCCTGGGATGGAGGGCGCAGCCAGCACTGAGCGTGGTCCCGTCCTCCCAGCACACTCTCCCACCAAGCACCTCCTGCAGCTGCCCCAGCCCAGGGCCAAAGCCTGTGTCCCGCAAAGGGGGGAAGGGGCGGGGCAAGTGGGCAGGGTCCAGACAAGATAGGCAACAGGAGTGGAGATGACACCTACGGGCCGGGTTCCAATTAAATAGGTGAATGAGTACACGTGTGCGTCAGAACCGACGAGTAAGTGGAAGGGTTGTGAGTTGCAACCTGTCGGTGCAATCTGGAGCCTTCACCCAGGGTCCTGTCCCCTCCGCAGCCCTCACCCTTGGCCCCCCTCAGGCCCTGGCCCTTCAGGGATGGTGACCTGCCCCGCTGACCACTCCCCTAATGCACACCTCTGTCCCATCCAGAGGCCTGGAGGGGCCCCCTCGTGGCTGGTCCGTGTCACTGCACTCCGGGGACTCCTGGCAGGACTTGGCTGGCTGTGACTTCGTGCTGGACCTGATCGGCCTGACCGAGGACCTGGGGGACCCTGCTGATCCCCACAGCTACCCCATTGCCCCCCGAAGCTTGTAGGTGCCGCCCCAGCACCCCTGTCCCCGGCCTGCTCCTGTCCCTACCCTGACCCCACAGCCACTGTATCACACCTGGTGGTTACAGGGGCTGCCACTGACCCAGTCTCCCCGCCTCCTGACCCCTGCAAGCCTCTTCCCCCTCCGTTGGGACACCCCCCTCAGCAGCTTCTACACTTTGCCTCAGCCCGGCACTGCCCCCGGCCAGGTGCCCGCTCAGTTGGGCCCACTATCTCCCGCAGAGCCGAGGACATCCCCCCCGCCCCGGGCGTCCAGGCCCCCTCACTGTACCCAGGTCCCCCTCCAGGCCCAGCCCCGACACTCCCTGGCAGGGGCTACACAGGTAAGGCTGGGAGTGGGCACACTGAGGCTGGCAGAGATGGGAATGGGGGTGTAGGGAGCCCACGCTCCAGGTGGTGACACTGCCCCTACTCCGGCTCCACAGGGGAGCCCCGGGCCTCAGGGAACCTGGATAGCTACCTGGACCACATCTTTGAGCCAGTCCTCTCCCCAGGCCTCAGCGTGAGTGCCCTGCACACATACCCCACCCCACCCCATCCTGCCCCTACCCCACTGGGCCTCTGCTGCCCCTCCCATCTCTCCCAGGGCTCTAGCTCTGGCCTTATGACCTGTGACCTTTGTCCCTTCAGGATCTGGAGCAAGCCAGGGCTCTGAGCAGCCGCATGAAGGGAGGGGGCGGCATCGGGCCCATGCAGCAAGGAAGCTACCCTATGGGTGAGTGGGGGGGGCGGGTGGAGCAGTACAGGTGAGCATGGCCTAGGACCATGGATCTGGGGTTAGAGCCCCGGCCAGTACCCTGGGCCTGAACGCGTTGCCTGGAGCTGGAAGGAGTGGGCCATGGGCCCAGCTAGGGACCAATCTGGGAGGCCCTGTCCCTTCAGTGTACCCAGGGATGATGCAGATGCCTGGATACCAGCCAGCTATGATGCCTGCACCCATGCCCATGATGCCAGCAATGGGCACAGTCCCTGCCATGCCAGGTAAGGCTGGGCTGGGGCACTGGGTCCCTTCTCAGGTAGGGACTGGAGGAGGGAGGGCCCTGCCAGAGGCTCAGAGGGCACAGCAGGCAAAGAGTTTCCAACTTGGCCCCGGTGCTCACCTGCCCCGCCCACCTGCCACCCTGCAGCCATGATGGTGCCACCACAGCCGCAGCCACAGCCCCTGCTCCCCAGCGTGGACGCCAGGCAGCTGGCAGCCCAGCAGCAGAGCTTCATCAACCAGCAGGCGCTGCTCCTGGTGAGGGTGGGCAGGGCCCCCGGGTGGCCAGGCCTGGGGGCAAGGCCGGGCCAGCTCTAACCTGGTCCACCGCTCCTCCCCCTCAGGCCCAGCAGATGACCGCACAGGCCATGTCCCTGACCCTAGAGCAGCAGACTCAGCAGCGCCAGCGCCAGGCCCAGGCCACGTCAGCCATTGCCCCGAAGCCCAAGAAGCCCCCGGCCCCCCGGGAGGAGCCGGAGCCGGAGCCGGAGCCAGAGCTGGAGCCGGTGGGTGTCTGCCTGAGGGTGAGGAGTGGAGACCGCAGAGGCCATCCCGGATGGGGCAGCCGGCTCCAGGGCTGCAGGGATGGAAGACAGGGCAGGGGCGTGGGAAGATGCAGAAAAGATGCCTCTGGGCCCCAGTCCCAGGGATTCAAGGGGTTCACTGTGAGAGGGGCAGCTTGGCTGGCAGTGCTGTTCCCTCACTTCCCCTTCCTGCCAGGAGACCCCCCAGGAGACCCCTGAGGAGACCCCTGAGGAGACCCCACAGGACGAGGAGGAGAGGCTGAGGAGCTTCCAGCAGAAACGCAACTATTTCCAGAAGATGGGTGAGGGGACCTGGGTGGCAGGCCCAGCCTGGCCAGGGGACAGCGGGTGCACTCCATCCCCTGAGTCTGATGTGGCCGGTCCAGGGGCACGGATGGGCTGGCCAGGCGGAGGGTGACAGGGCCATCTGGGCACTTACAGGGCAGCAGCAGATCAAGGTGAAGACGGTGAAGCCTCCGGCCAAGGTGCAGATCCCCCGAGGGGAGGAGCAGGAAGAGGAGGAACCCAGTGCAGGTGGCAGGGAGATGGGGGGCAGCGGGATGCGGGGGGGC